GGCTGATTTTTCTAAAGTAGATCACAAGGTCTTTCTTCTCAGGCAGTCTGAGCAGACTCAACCCTCCAACATTTTGGTTAGCAGCCAAATGTGTTAACCATTTGTGACCCCCATTGGATTTCCAAGGCAGTAAATCTTCATGGAAGTAGATTGCCCCATCCTCATTCTGCAGAGCAGCTGGTGGGTTTGAATCAACCTTCTGGTTAGTAGTCAAATGCCTTAGGCAGTTCTTACCCAAGGCACTGGGATGTCAGAATTCCCTCCCTGTATGGCCACAAGCTCGCCTACAGGGTCTTCTCAGGACTTTCCCCTTGATCCAACCTCCTGAAAGTGAAGTGTGCTGCCCCCACTAGAACCAACGGGCAGCCAAGGGCAGCTGTTTGTGAGAGGAAGCTGGTGGGAAAAGAGGCAGGTCTCAGATGTCCCTGATCCACTACACTCCATAATGGGACACCCAGGAGTCAAGAATTTTTAATTTAAGCCTCCACTTCTGGATAATTATGAAGATATATTTATCATGGTGGATCCCTGGGTGGCACCAACAGTTAAGTGTTCAACTAATAGCTGAAAAGTTGGCGGTGTGAACCCACCTAGAGGTACCTTAACAGACAGACCTGGCAATCTGCTTCTGAAAGGTCACAGCCATAAAAACTCTATGAAGCAGCTCTACTCTTTATACATGGAGTTGCCATGAATTGGAGTCAACTCGATGACTGCTAACAGCAGCAATTCATCAAGGATACAGCATATTTGGTTTAATTTTTAAATATTTAGATATACAGCATGTGGGCAACTATTCACAGTCTTGCCCATGTTCTGCAAATATTAATAGTGGGTCTTTCCCCTCCCTCTTGCCTCACAATCCAAACACACACTCATTTTCAATACATCATGCATGTGAGCACGCATGCATGCACACACATACACACACACACACTCTCTCACTCTCTCTCTTTTCTCCTTAAACTGGTAGCTTTTTTAATCCCCATTTTCCATTGGAGTGAAGCAATGGTGGTTCAATGGCAGAATTGTTGCTTTCCACGTGGGAGACCTGGGTTTGATTCTGGCTACTGTATTTCATGGACAGCCACCATCTGTCTGCCAGTGGAGGCTTGCATGTTGCTATGATGCTGAAGAGATTTCAGCAGAGAATCCAGACAAAGATGGACTAGGAAGAAAGGCCTGGCAAAAATCAGCCAATGAAAACTCCATGGAGCAAAATGATCAGAGCCACAACCAATCGTAGTCACTTAGCAGGGCTACGTTCCATTGTATATGGCCCCCATGAATCAAGGTCCACTGGATGACAGCTAACAACATTTGACTAGAAACTGCTCTCAGATCTTTATGCAGCCTTTGATATTTTTATCTGTCTTTGAAACTCTCTTGGAGTCTGTGACCTTGGGCTCATCCCTTTCTCCTCCACTCACTGCAGCCCCCAAACGTAAACATTCCCTGAGGTGCCAGCCATGGCTATGGCCTCATCCACACACTCTCCCTAGGGCACCACATCTGAGTGTCTATGTGATGGCTCATGCCTCCTCAGCCCACATCCATGTATTCTGAGATAATATAACTCTCTGCCCACAGTTGAGAATCATGACAGTAAATAACATGTTACCCAAACTAAGAGTGAAGGGGTAGAAAATGAATCATTGAGACCTGATTACATCAAGCAGTGTAACTTGATGCCTCACAGTGGTTGAGGGTATGATGGGTGTTATGGATTGTGTCCCCCAATCATATGTGTTGAATTCCTGGCCCTTGTACCTGTAGAGGACATGGAAATAGGGGACTTTCTTCCGTTATGTTAATGAGGCCATACCAGTGTAGTATGGATCCTACATCTAACCACTTCTGGGTTATAAAAAGACCAGAATGGATATGAAAAGAGACTCACGGAGTAAAAGACAGATGCCATGTGAGGACTGTCTATAAGCCAAGAAACCAAGCAACTCCCAGGGCTACCAACAAGGAAGGAATTGACAAGACTGAAACTTTGATTTGCACTTTTAGTCTTCAGAATTGTGAGAAAATAAATGTCTGTTCTTTAAAAGCATCCACTTGTATTTTTCTTACAACAGCACTAGGAAACTAAGACAACTGGCAAGACCAAGTATGAATCTTTCTCACTCAGCCAAGGAAGAGTTGAATGGAAAAGTCAAGCACCAAGTAAATCCCATTAAAGCAATTATGTCACAGCTGTGACTTCCCTCCTAGGTATTACACATGGGCCAGGGATAATTTCTCCATTCTAGCAGGGACTTTTCCAGGAAGAAGCCTCCACTACAGTGGAGTGGAGGAACCAAATCTCAGCCAAACCTAGAGAATGGCTGTTTCAATGGCTTTATTCTTCCTCAAACATCAAAAGCATCGCTTCCTTTGCAGCCGCTGTGCACTCTTTCTTAACAGCAAAGATGTGCAGCACAGACTCGCTCACTGGCACCACACAAAAATAGCCCTGAACACAACCATTTAAGCAATGCTTGCACCACAGCAACATCCTCAAACCAACACAAGATGTGAGGAAACACTTAGCCTAATACAACTGACTTAGAATAGAGCAACACTTACAAGTTAAAGTTGGTTTCACCCAAACAGATACTACAGAGGAAGCAAGAGCTTAGAACATGGCCTTTGAAGGCAGGCAGACTCAAATGCCAACCCCAGCTCTACCACACACTACCTGTGGGAACCTGGATAAGTCATTTCACTTTTGAAAGCCTCAGTTGTCTTACCTATAAAATGGATATAATGGCATTTACTTCATAGGGCTGTCATAAGGCATATATATACGTGCCACGATTCCTAACAGAGAATATAAGCAATGGATATGAATGAAACCCACCACCCATCTGTCAATTTGTATGTGGTATGGTGGTGGCTTGCATGTTGCTGTGATGTTGCAAGCTGTGTCACTAGTATTTCAAATACCAGCAGGGTCACCCATAGAGGGCAGGTTTCAGCAGAGCTTCCAGAATAAGACAAGAAAAGCCTAGTGATCTACTTCTGAGAATTAGCCACCAAAACCTATGGACCACAATAGAACACTGTCTGACTTGCTTGCTTTGGGCAAGAATGGACCAATTGTAGAGGAGGACATCATGTTTGGTGAGGCAGAGAACTAGCGAGGGTGAGGGAGACCCTCTTTGAGATCGGTTGGCACAACAGCCACAACAATGAACTTGAACATGGTCACAATTGTGAAGATAGCACAGAACCAAGCACTGTTTCATTCTGCTGTACATAAGGTCACCAGAGTCTAAGTTGACTCAATGGCAACTAACAACTAGAATCACAGTGTTCATTAAAAGTATTTTCCTTTATGTTCACTTCTATATCTACTAGGCAAGATCCTAAAGGGCAGGGGTAAAATTCTACTCACCTCTCTGACTTTGCAAGTGTGTGTACAATTAGAAAACAAACATATAAACAAATGTGTTCTTCACGTCAGTTCAGACTCTGGCAACTTCATTTGTCACAGAATAGAACTGAGCTCCTTAGGGTTTTCTTGGCTGTAATCTTTATGGAAGCAGATCACCAGGCCTTTCTTCCATGGTGCTGCTATGTGGGTTTGAACCAACAACTTTTCAATTAGTAGCTATGCACAAACTGTGCCACCCATGGACCTATGTGTACATAATAATAAAAAAAAAAAAAACCTCACTGCCATGAGTCGGTTCTGACTAATAGTGACCCCCACTGGGTTTCCAAGTTTCTGTAAGTCTTTATGGAAGTACACTGCCCAGTCTTTGTTCGGCAGAGTGGCTGCTGGGTTTGAAGCACCAGCCTTCTGGTTAGCAGTCAAATACCTTAGGCACTACACCACTAAAGCTCCTTGTATGTATATAATTGTGTTGTTGTTGTTATGTGCCGTGGAGTCAGACCCTACTCATAGCGACCCCTCCTTGGGTTTCTGAGGCAGTATCACTACGGAAGTAGATTGCCCAACCTTCCTTCAGAGGAGTGGCTGGTGGATTTGAACCACCAGCCTTCTGGTTAGCAGTCAAATGTCTTAGGCACTTACGCTACCAGAGCTCCCTGTATGTAT